GTTGTTCATAGGATTCCACCACTTCCCAGTGAACAAAATCTCTGTCTTCCTCTTGTGAATCTCTGATAAAATTATGGAGAGCCATTGTTGCTGTCACAATCTTAATCCATTTCTTCAACTTGTACTTAGGATGCTTCCTATCAAGAATTCTCCATTTGGCTTTCCAGACACCAAACGTCCGCTCAATTATTGATCTCAGACCGGAATGCTTACGGTTAAACAGTTCCCGACTGTTTGTCGGTGGTCCTCCTCTGTTGAACTGATCTAAATGATATCTAGTTCTGCGATGAGGTCCTAGATAACCACTTCTGGATGGATGCCGCTGTATAATATAACAAAGAGCAAAAAGAAACGATTCCACTGCTGAATTTCTAAATATTAAGCATCTTTATTGTGGCAGGCTACAAGGTCAAAGTAGTAGCTCAAGTGTAAATGGGTATGTAAACGGGTAAAAGAATCTAAGAAAACACACAACACAAATCATATAGCTAGTAACACTAGATACACTACATTAACAAGCCATAAGAACAACCCTAGATTCCACAAAAAGATCGAGCAAACACATCAACAACCATGAAAAAGTGATATTCATGCATAAGATTCAGAGACATCAAAACAGAAGCTATAAACATGAAGCAGAAACTAGCCAAAAACACAAGGACATGACCAGCAAGCCATCATCACAAGCATATACGAGTAACATAATCATCACAAGCATACGAGTAATCACAAACCATCATCATCACAAGACTTAAATACAACATTGTTTCACATTTTGACATAAACATAACAACAGAGAGAAGCTTGAGACTAGTTTTCAAATGAATCAAAAATGAATCAAACATAACAACGGAGAGAAGCTTGAGACTAGTTCTAAACTAGTTTTCTAATCTCGTTTTCAAATGAATCAAAACCAACTAATATCTACAACTTTTTACTTCAAAATAACCATTTTAGAGTAAACCCAAGAACAAATCCTTCTTCTTACTGCAAGATAAAGAGAGGGAGCGAGAGAAACCAGAGAGATAAAGAGAGAAAGCAAGAGAGACAGAGAGATAGGGATGGAGAGAGAGAGAGAAGGGGGTTTGTAAACCTATACTCCGGTAAGAGATCGATCCGGTGAGGGATTGATCCGGCGCCGCGAGAGATTGCTCCGACGAGAGCTTGATCCGGCGAGAGCTTGAAAGAGGAGAGAGTCTAAGGAAAACCCTATTCTTCGTTGTTGTTCTCTGGAGGCTAGAAGAAGAAAAGGCAATATGATTAATTATACAAGGGTATTTTAGGGTTTTTGCGATATTGGCTGAACCGGCTCAAGCCAGCTGCTCCGTCTCGGCTCAGCCGAATTTTCAGCCTTTTTTGGATGAGTTTTATAAAACTCATTTAACTGCACCATCTAACTGTTCCGAAAAATTGGCTTAAACGAACATCAGTTTTCATCTCCACCTAGATGAATCTGCTGGATGAAGAAACGAACAGCACCTTAATCGTTTTTTTTAAGTCGGCTCGGCTACATTGTTTTCAGCAAATCAAAGGTGCATGCATACCTTTGTTTACGATTAGATCATTGCTCAAAATATACGTTTTCCATTATTATTATTTTTTAATGTAAAACACGTTTTCGTTTATCTGTGTTTGGTGTTTCGATTTTCAGATGGAGGAGATTGTTTTGGAACCAAAGGATGCAGTTGATTGGTCATATAGAGGCGAAGGAGCTGTTAATTTGGTTCTCGCTTACACTGGATCTTCTCCTACTTTCGTTAGTATCCTATTTCAATCTGTTTCTCAAACCAAAACATGATTGTTTTGCCTTAATGTCTTAGTTTTGTTATAGGGAAATAATAGTTATCATTGATTCTATCCTTTTGTTTTTTTGTGTGTCCGTTTGTGTTATATGTGAAGTTGGGAAAGATATTGAGGATACAGAAAATGCCAAAGGATGGAAATATAAATGGAGACAAAAGTGAAAATGGTCTTACCACTCATGAAAAGCTTATTTGGGGAGACATCAAGGATCTTGTATCATGCCAGAACAAGGAGATTGAGGAGTATTTGTTTGTCAAACATGTCATGAGACCTTTGTTTGGTCATAAACATGTCAATCCTGGAGTATGTTTCTTCTTGTCATGAATGTTATACTCGTTATTAAGGCTACAAGAAACTGGAAGTTGCACTAGGGATGTTTTAAAGGATGATGATTTGAGTATTTACATGTGTAATTGTTGCAACTTTGCAGATACGTCTTCTTGTAGCAAAGGAGTTTCTTGAATATGTTGACAGTATTATATCATCTCAACGTCCTTCTTGGCGAGCTAATGCAGCCAGTGTGGATACTAACCGGAGTTCCGTGCTTCTTATGGATGATTTGACACTATTCGCCCACGGTAAATCGATTTTTGTTTATTTGACCATTCATGAGGCTCTCTCTTTCATTGTTTTGTTTGACTTGCAAGTAAACTATGATGTGAGCTTGTAGATTGGCTCTTGGATTTAAGCTATGGTTTTTGGTTTATATATAACATGTCACAGCGTTAATGATCTCCTCTGCTTTCAGGTCATGTTGAGGATAAACCATGCTTAAGTGTTGAAATAAAGGTGTTCATGATCATTATCTTGTTCTTTTTTTATTTGTTGGCTAGCCATTGAGTGCTAAATTTGGGCTGATATATGTTTGCTCTCTGATGGAAGTAGCCCAAATGTGGATTTCTTCCATCTTCAAGTTTCATAGCAGAAGAAAATGTTATTAAGAAGAGTGTAACTCGTTTTGAAATGCACCAGTCTCTGAAGTTTAAAGAAAACGAGGTACTAATTCTACTACATCCCTCAGAAATCACTATCCAACGTCGAAGCTAACACCTTATAGCCATGTATTGCAGATCACAGAAATCAGTGAGTATGATCCCTTGGACCTTTTCTCTGGATCAAAAGATAGAATACACAGAGCAATAAAAGCACTCTACACGACACCTCAGAACAATTTCCGCGTGTTCTTGAATGGATCTTTGGTGTTTGGAGGCTTAGGTGGTGGCATATGCAAAACAACCTCAAAAGTTGAACTAGCGTTTGAGCATATGCTCAAAGATATCATCAAGATCGATGATGGCTTACGTGCAGATCGTTTCATAGAGCTAGTAGCAGAATCTGTTTACTCATCCGGAGTTCTAGATCAACTTCTAGATGTCCAAAAGCTCGATAAATATAACATCGAGGGAGTGATTCACCTGTACTATGACTTGATTGACCAGCCATGTAAAGTGTGCAGAGAGTTGGAGAAGATCAGTAAACCATCAAATCAATATAGTTCCATGCATTCGATTCCACTGGATGAAAAAGTGAATATTTTGAAGGATTTTCTAATATCTGCCACTGCAAAGGATTGTAGTGTAATGATAAGTTTTAGATCAACAGAAGTTGGGTTATCAAGATCATCTTCACACAGTAATCTGCATCTTGAATCAACAAAGCAAGAGTTTGAGTACAAGGTACATGTATTTTTTTTGTTTAACCTCTATATACTCAAGCTTTGCTTGTATTGAATTATTTCTCTCATATACTGAGGTCTATGTTGTTGACAGGTACATTTCATTGATCTTGATATGAGACCTTTGAAGAAAATGGAAGTCTATTACAAATTAGACAAGAAGATCATGAACACATACCTAGAGATGCTGAAGAAGAAAGGAAATCATCAACCTTGATGCTTCTAGAACTACAAGCTTAGAAGAAGGTAACAAATGGGCTACTTATTTAAGACATTGTCTTTGTAGCCATTTCCTCATGATTGGTCTCGTTCTCTTCTATTCCCTGATAAACTAATTTTGATTTCCTATGATAACAATGCATAATAATTTTGGAAAAAAAAAAGAAAAAACCAAACTTCCTTTTGATTGATGCGAGAGGAAGTAAGATACCGCGGCTGTGCAGATGGAAACTATATAATAGTAACCACTGATTAAACTACACAATAGCTATTAATCTACACAATGGCTACTAGTTATTGTCTATATGGTCCAAGAAGACAAAACCAAACACATCTTCATACGGCTCACCAATCTGAGCCTTGGCAAAGTCTTTTATGTAGACAACTACAGTCTTTTCGGAGTTACGCGGCTCCACATCTTCAGTAGTTTCAATCGCCACTTGCACAATCTCCAACTGATGCTGCAGAAACAAAACCATGTCTGTGTGAATCAAATTATTACTTACCAGTAGCGAGTGCCGCAAGCATTTTTCATTGATATGCAAAACAAATGAAAGAAAGGAGAGAAAAAAATCTAACATTTGTAAGTCTCCTATTGTGAAAAACAAGAGCAAGTTCCAAATACAGACGAATCCAATCGTTGTCTCGCAACTCTGATTCCTTCACCTGCAAAGTTTGTCAATAAAACATATAATTTGTTACTAGGCAAAAAAAAGCAAAACCACAAGGGAACTAGTGAGTGAGTGTCTTTAGTTATTACCAGGTGAAAACGTTTTCTATCATTGAAATCAATCTCTGACGGCCAATCAGGCAACTCATCACTGATAAAACAATCACACACTGGTTGGCTATGAGGACGAAGGAAAGGCTCCTTGGTGGTCACTATGCAAAGTTAATCAGCAAATGTATATGAAACCGCAAAGTTAATCAACAAGTTTTTTTGATTTTGTGACAGCCTTTAGCAGTTCTTTCGGGTTTCGAATAGCTTGGATATGAAACCTTTATATACAAATCTTATTGAAGAAACCAAAACTATTGCGGTTTGGTTCCATTAATTGGATATCTTTTGTTTCGGTTCGTTTCAGACAAGTCAAAAAAGAACCATAAGTGTTTTGGAGTATTTCTATTTTCTTTAGCTAGGGCTTCGTAACAGTTTCCTACTGTATTCATATGTAATAAGACTCCCTTTACTTGCTACGGTTTCAACAGAATAAAACTACACAAACAGCCTGTCAAATAGAGAGAGTGAGAGATTCCTTTTGTGAAACAGAGAGTTATAATACAAAAAGACACGAGCTTTCTTTGTTTTGCCATAAGTAAAACTGGTTTCAAAATCAGTTGGGTCTACCATTAACGCATCACCTGTGTATTGTATTCAAATCTCTCACAAATACATATAATTAGATGTTGGACTGGGAAACAAATTCTCATATAAGAAGACTGCAAACCCTGTTATATTTTACAAATATGAAGGAGCCTTATTTATCAAATGTTTCCACCCAAATTTACACCTTATTCGTTTTCTGTAAACCAAAAACTTCAATGAGGAAGGTGATGCTCTAATGGAGCATACATTCCCAAACACTTTTATGAGAGATAAACAAGTTCCTAGCTAACATCATCCAAGGTTGAAGACTCTTCCTTGGCTTCTTTCTCTTCCCTTTGTCTCTCTCCTAACTTGTTAAGTGTGTTCTCGTGGACGAGCTGCCCAAAGAGAACTAAGAGCACGAAGCCTGTGGAAGTACTCTCCTAGAGCGAGCAAGCCTCGAGCTGACTGTCTTGTTGTCAAGATCTTACTCATTTGTTGCAGAGTCTGCTGCCTTAGATGATCCGCCTGTTCCAGTAAAGAGAGCTTAATATATGTTTTCAGTGCATTGTCAATTTGTACAGACAGAAAAGAGACAAGCTTTTTTGGTTTTTGCAGAATGAAAATGAAAGATTTCGGATATAAGAATAAAAATCATGGAGACTGCAAAAGCACATATCAAACACATTTTTAGCTAAATAACTATACGACGAGTATGAGCACGTTACCTGGTTCACAAAAGTCTCCAATGCTTGAAGATTATCCATGGCCGAAGCCATTTGAGCACTGTGATTCGCAGACTCAACAACTTTTATCTGAACTGCTATGCTTTCGACCAAACCCTGCTGAAGTTTATCTAAGCCTTGAGAGAGAGCCTCCTCTGCTTGCTGAGATGATTGTTGGAGGTTACGCACCGCCAAGATTTGTTGATCGGTTAAGGGCTCAATGTATGGCATCACAACCTAGACAACAATAAGCGTTGAGATTTTCTTCTCAAGAGTGAAGACTATAACGTGTAAAGGTGAGAAATTTGTTTACATTCAACAGTTCGGATGGACGGAAACCTCCAATCCATTGGAAGAAGCGTTCAGTTGAAGTTCGCCACATTCCCGACATCAAGAAGAACACATCAGCCTTTGCAGCATCAGCTTTCATGCGGAAGAGATTTGCGTAGTGGTTCAAGCAAGTATCAACCAGCATTTTAAGCTCAATGTCACTTATATGAGCTTGAAGCGCTGTTCGAATCTCACTAACTCTCTTGTTTTGCTCTTCGAGCCAGTGTGTGTATTCCATCTCAAATGCAGCAATCCCTGAATACGGTTTCATTGAGATCATCATTTCTTTAAGATACTGAGGATTAAGAGATTAAGCGATGGCTGCAATGCTAACATATGTTTATTTACTGATATAAACACTAACCTGAGTTCATGTTCCCAGCTGGTCCTAGATAACTAGTGTCTGATGAATTGCGAACGCATAATCCCTGAAAACAAACCAAATTCACTAAGTTAGTATGAGTCAGATATAGTTTGATAAACACAGAAGAAAGAAACAAGATTGGGCTGACCTGTTGCCTTGCTCTTACAAGTTCCTGCTCGAGCTGTGACAACTTCAACCGGCTTTCTTCTAACTGTTGGACATGGGCCTACAGGCACAGACGTAACTTCGCATAAGCATTCCTTTTTATCATTACCACAAGAAACCCCACCAAGGGACCTTTCTTACCTTCTTTCTCAAACGGCTTTTGCGAGCAGCTTCTCGATTCTGAGCCAAACGCCGTTTCATCTGTGCATACAGAAGGAACAACAATTCATGTCATCACGCCGTGTCTCTTCCTCTAAAGATTAAAATGGACAATGACGAGTTTATGAGGTCTTCGAAACAAAAGGTATAACTAGCCTTAAAATGCTGAAGTCTACCTTATCATTGATCCGGTCTTCGTCTTGATCATTATTACTAGAAGGTTCTGCTTCAACAGAGTTATTATACAAAGAAGCATAATTGGCCTGCACATAATAAATCAACCATCAATTACCAAACAAACAACACTTATAAATCAGTCTAAAGCATGAATTAGGAATAAAGAATATCTCACTCTATTGTTATCATCTGGTTCTGGTCTAGCATCAACCTCAAGTGTGGTTGAAGAACTCTGATTGTTGTTCTGATTGTTGTTATCAATATTGTTGACATCTTTGAAAGGATTCTCCCAACCAGATAACTGTTGAAATGGTTCATACATCCCCATGTCTCTGAATGATACGACTTGAGTAGAAGAAGAAGAAGAGCTCATCATCTGTGTACATCAAACCATTACAAGCTCAAGCTTATTGAATTCAAGAAACAGAGTCTCTATCTCAGCTTTTACTCGATCTCTCTAAAAAATTACACTGCTCAGTACAAGTTCTTCTTCATCAGTTTCTACAGTAGTTATAGTTTTTTAGCTATAATAATAAAGGTTGAAACTTTAAGACGCAACTCTAAAAAAAACGAGCCTTTTGAAGTAAACATAGCCAAATAGAGCAATACCCATCAAAATTAGAAAGTTGCAACAAGTAAAAAACCAAAATTGGAAATTGTAAAAATCTCAAAGCAATGAAATAAACATCATAAACAAAAACCAACCTCCATTGACAAGCAGAGAAGAAACTCATGACGAAGTCGAGAGATGAAGAGTGAATCTTAGCATTCTCTGGTATATCCCAATGAAACGGTGACCACAAGAGAGAAGAGAAGAGAAATGAAGAAACTTTCTTTGGTCAAAACTTAGAGGTGAAGCGTACCCATCATTGAAAGAGAAAAAAAAAAAAAAAGCAGAGATATTTATTTTTTTCTTTTTATCTATTACCTTTTTATTTTTTGTTTGCTTTGATTAGTCCATGAGCGAGGCGTAGTAGTAGAGAAATAATAAAGCAAGTTGGAGTAAACGAACGACGAAACGACAAAAGCACACCGGGAGAAAAAACAAATCGTAAGAGAGAGAAGAAAAAGTTGAAGTCTTTTTCCTATACGCCAAAAAAAAAAGTTGACCTTACCGTGCGCCTCTGTGCTCTGAGTTCTAACGTACGCGTGTTTTGATGACCTGGATTCTCATCTCATCGTCGGCCGACACATCAACTTTGCTATTGGGAATATTCCGGCAGCCTTTTCACTACTTTATTTGTATCGTTTCGTCTAACATATAGAATCTGAATCTTTTAATTTTATGACTTATCAGTATATGATTCGTTATGATTTAAAGTTTTTTTTAAAAAAATATTAATCAAAACTTATGATTCAGATCTAAACCCACAACTTTTTCGAATGAATATGTATCTACTTGTTACTATAATAACGATTTTAATAACGTGTAGCTACTCACATTATTAATATATCTATGTTCTTTAGTAATTTATAAATGTTAATTGTTTTGTTATTCCAAATTGAGTAACTTTTTCCTATAAATTAGGTCGCATTTTATGGGACACATCAAGAGTGCAAAGATTAAATACTTTACATCTCAATTTGTATGCTTTATTTTGGAGGGTCTCAGTGGTATGCAGTGGCATCTTTTTTAACTTAAGTACCTCCTCCTTGGCTTAGTGAGAAATAATTGGGGACTTTAGTGCTCTAAAATACGATTATCTTTCTTTAAGTCTTTCTCCTTTTGTCTTATAAAACTATTCGATTCTTTAGTTAGTTTGGCACCACTTGTCTAAATAAAACCTGTGTTACGACAGAGACAAATACGTGAATTAAGTGGGGGCTTTTTGGTTTGGCTTTAATAAAGATTCATATTCATATATTATAGTTTATCTATCTTTATAATATGATTTAGAAAAACGTATTGATCAGTGACATTTGCAACAATGGAAAATTATCAAAACTGATTGAATCTGTTTCTTCTAGAATAATTTTTTTTCCTTAAATAAATCTCTACTTAGTGCTTCTGACATGACGTTTCCTTACAAATCAAGCTAAAATACATTTGTTTCATAATTTCGATGAGTGTGTGTTTGCAGTTTGCACTAATAACTGATTAGTGATTACAAAACACAGTGGAGCAAATTTGTTGGGCTTACCTCTTAAAAAGCCCGTAAGACTTGTTGAATATTCTCACCTAGCAAGTGCACGTGAGAAAAGCAAGATTCCTCGTCTCCTAGCTTCCCGTTGTCTCGTCACCACTCATAGGTCATCACTATAATTTTATTTACTACTGGTTGCTGTTGTGTCTGGTGCACGCATGACTGTCGTTAACTTAATTAACCCTAATAACATTTATAGATTTCATTATTCTTGGCGAATCTATTAGGTACGGTGTCTTGTAATTTCACTCGTTTCAAATACTTCATTCACAGATTAATGACGTACGTTCAAACTGAAGTTGACTTAGTTTTATTGCTTTCTAAGCTAAGTGTGACTTCAAATATTTGATATAAGGCGACAATAATACTTTATAACAGCGTTAGAAATTGTTGATGGCATCTAATCTTTAAATAAAGATATGTACTAGTACCACTTAATTAATTAGTATGTCTTTGTTATTCGTTCATCGTATATAAATGTTATGTAAATGATTACATTTACTCTTGATATAACTAAGAAGATAACTGTTATTTTTTTTTATTTTTTTTTGGCGATACTGTTACTTTTCTGATGGAATATTTCCATGAACTTTTTGTACATGTTCAAGAACTAAGATCACTTACAGGATAATAACTGTACAAAAGTGTTTTGTGCTGATTTGAACATCCAATAAGATAAGTCAAAAGGAAACATTCAATAAGATAAAAACATCCATTAATTTGAAATCGATTCTTCTTAAATTTGCATGTTTTTAAAAAACCTTTGAAATGCTCGTACGAACGAACAATTTGCATATTATGGCAATCCAACAGTCCACCACTATTACGGGTGTTAAAGCACTACACCAACACGATTATTTATGTTATAGAATTAGATTTTTCAAAAATATTTTCATATACGATATATATTATCCACTTGATAAAAAAGTTCAAGTACTTAATATTCTGCTTTAGTGATATATACGCTTTAATTAATCGCTTACTTTGTTCTTTTCTTTTAGTTATCTAACTAATCCGATGTTTTAAAATAAAATTGTTTTGCCCCCACATATGGCTTTTAAAATTCTGATGTTACCATATAGATAGATTAGATACTATAGTTATCTATACTTAATACAGGTAATTACGTAACCATATATGTATTTGACACGGTAAAGAGAGATGCTGGTCTGAGAACTAATTTGCATACACTGCAACTCCAACCCTTTATTTTCCTTGTTCATATGTATTTTGTTTCCAACACCAAAAAAAAATATATGTATTTTGTTCCTAGTCTTATTTTGTTTGAAAAAGCAACTCCTCCTGATGATATAATCGTTAGATATTTTAATTTTTTTCTTGGCTAACTACGAAATACGTCTGGAACTTTTTGTTAACTCTCAAATTATTTGGAAGATTATCAAAATTTCCTTTAAGAAATGGTATTTGAGTATATATATATATATATATATATATATATATATATATATATATAACACTAAAAAATCAGGAACGAGCTGCATGATTATAGAAACTCTTATAGCTTTTATAAAACCTCCAAAAAAAAAAAAAAAAAAAAAGAAGTTCACAAGAAAATCACACGATAGACTCAATCAAACAAGAAAGCAAAAAACTAAAACTAACAAACGGAAAATTCGAACTTTTTATTCCTTATTTAAATTGATTGATATATATATTATTCAGTAATCATAAGATCACAAACTTTAGCAGAGTTTTTCTTGGTGCTCAGCTTCCCAAAGAACCACCGGCCGGAACCTCCACCGTTCTCTTCGATTCCACCGGCGGTTGTAACCGCGTTTGTGGTAATACTCTTCATGTTCTCTCTGTGGAACTTCCTCGCCGTGTAAGCCTCCGCCATAGCCATCCCTCCTAGTCCCGATCCGTCTAGCGACATGTTGGAAAAGTTCACAAGAAAATTATATAAAACTATAGTGGTAATATGTGAAAAGATGATGCAACTAGAGACAAAAGAGAGTTGATAAACGTAAAAGAAAGAATTAGGTGAAAGGTTAGTGTTGATGTTTTGGAATTTAAGGTGGGATGGGTTGTGATGAATATATAGAGATATATCAGTGGGTCCTTTTTATATAGTTGGATTTATTTTCTCTGTTTCCCACTTATTTATACATAACATTTTGCTGACAGCTATGTTATACGTACGCAAAATAGTGGGAATCTAATTATAAATTTTGCAAAAACAGATGTTATTGTTGCTTTTTTTGAGTTTCAAGTGTCTATATCGTACGTCAGATAGAATGCAAAACAGTTTGGTTTACGCTGTTATTGAAGCATACACATAGTTTTACAAAGTTGTTCATACTACAATGGAAGATATAAGTGAGCACAAATATATAAGAGCAGAGGGCACATTGGCCGCAGGGACAACAAACTCCCATGCTATAGCAAATAATGTATGATCATATTCCAAAATCCAAACAATATTTAGAAAAAAGTGTTTCATTAAATCAAAAGATATATCAATCGCTAGTTTAGTTTTAAACTAAACGACTATTACTCTACTCAAATGAGATGATTAATCTTTAAAATGAAGAATGCTTAATAGGCAAATCAATGTATACAAGTTAGTACTTTATTGATAATTGGACTGTCTAAAGCCGTAGGTCGACGCAAATAATGGCTAGACACTCAATTTTTTTAAAAATATAGATGATGACTCAACGTGTAATGATAATTTCAAAGTTTGAGCGATGATAAGACTGATCATTCGGCAACAAAATATCATGTTTTGTATAGTCATCAGTCATCACACAAAACAAATGGTGTTTTACCTTTTTATCGTAATCGACAGTAAAAGAATTGACAGGCGACAGATACGACAATTCCTCGTTACACTAGGACCTTGAAACGATGGTTAGATAATAAACAAATGAAAATTTGAGTTGATGCAAATCTAAGATAGATCCGGATATGATTACATCCACTTAGTACTAATTATATTACAAAAAAGTAGACGTATTTAGGTTATAATTATTTGTATAATATAGAGAGACGTATAATGTATATGGATTTATTAAACGTCACAAAGACGAAAGCATTAAGCATCGATGCACTCTTTATAGTTTACGAGTTATTATTATATTACAAGGAACGTCTTAATGAAACAAATGAACATAGACCGTGTCGTGGCTTCTGTTCGTTAACTATATAAAGTTCTTTCGAAGGAACACTAAACACTAAACTTAATTAATTAGTTAGATACTTAGCTTAATTTTTAATATATATGTCCACTGAGTTAATGACTCGTATTAGAGGTGCAACCACACGAAAGAAAACAAAACAACCTAACAGCTCCTAGAGGAATAGCCAAAAATGATACTTCAACAGCTTCAATTGAAATATAATGTTTTGAAATTGATTAACATAATTGAATTTATCTATTGTCAAATTATGTCCCCTGGACAGACCAAATGAGACCTCTATAATCTATATAATACATAGTATTGTGTTTGTCAAATAATAGTTAAACCGTTTAGCAAAAGACGACTAGACGAAGAAGCATCTATATTATGTAACCCCACTGCCGAAGTGGCAATATAGGTACGAGTGGGTCGGTATCATATAAACTACCAATAAGATTTGATCAGATATTTTTGGGAGAAAGTTTTATATATCCATCGATCACCATTACACATTACTTTATGAGTACATTAGAAAATCAGAAAAAGAAAACAAACGATAATGCGCTTCTTCTTTCGATTCCTAGAATTTTCTCAAGAATTCTTTTTTTATTTGACGTTTTTTTGGTCCCATACATGTACACTACTAGTAAACATTATCAAAAGCATTAACCAAACTATTTAGAAGAAAATATTCTTTTAATGCTTTACCATTTCACTATATCATCATAAAAAAAAAAACTATTGGCCATACTGTTGAAAAACTTAAAGTGTGTGTTTAAGTCAAACTTAAAGGGGTATACTACCACTTAGTACAGTCTGTGTTCTCATATTTCATTTTTTTTTGTAACGATTAATCTAGCTATAATCTGAAATCTCAATGTAGCCACTGTAAAAATGAAAATATAGAAACAACCTTTTTAAGTAAGGGCCTTTGGCCCAAAACACTTGCATGCAAATTAGAGAACCAGGCGTCATCAACCTGTACTGTTAAATGACTAAATGTCGTCGTCATTGGATCAAACGCCAAGTCGTGGCCACGTAGGGCGATCACACACACGTTCACGTGGTAAAAGCGGAGATAGCTGAGCTGTGACCGGGGAGATAAAGGGACCGCTCGCTCGCTTGAGAACCCTCTCACCACGTGCCCCCCCCTTCCATCTCCATCTCTTCTTTTTTTGGGGCCACCCTTTTGCACACCACTCCTACTCACTGTTATCATTCCTTTTTTTCTTTTTCTTTTAACAAAAATGTATGTTAGGGATTTTAAAATCAGAAGATCATACTTAATTATATGTTTTTCTTTAACAACTTGTTTTGGGTGGACAATTCAATAACTACATCAGTAATTGTGCTTTAAAGCCATTAACCACCACCTGTTTACTCACTACTACACAGATTTTTGTGTGTTTGATACATTAATTACCCTACTATATGAATGCGTTTTTATGATGTCTTCTTAAACATAAGTGATAGTTTTTACAAATCGAAGTAAGGGTATTAAACCTCGAAAACTTCATGATATTTGGATAAAATTTTCAGCAAATTATGTTCCGTACTTATGTAACAAAAGTAAAACAAAGTTTAATAAGAGTCTAAAAGTCATAACAAATGTTGTGAAGTACATCTTACGATCTTTACCATTGACATCATTTAACTTTGTACTAGTAAGCTTTTATTTAATTGTAATGTGGTTATTATATAGTAAGTATTAGTATTATTCTATACACATTTGTTTGATCATTAATCAGATTTTATGTAAAAAAAATTCGGATTGGTCACACACCTCCAAAGGATCCAACAAATAAATACACCCCGACATAATAAATAAAACTTCATAATTACTTCTATCAGAAAAAAATGGACCATATAACAAAAAATGAAGAAAAGGAAATTAAGGATGATAATAAAAATAGACTTTGGCGGGATGTCTCTGTTCTGTAAGTAATTAAGCCTTGTCTAATACTTCTTAAACCCCCTAGTGTAGTAATAGTAGTTAGCACTGTACTCTTCTTCTCCTCTCATCTCCTTTGTGATATTTCACCAAATCACCCAACACTTGAAAAAAATTAATACACAACAATAATCAAAACCTAACCTAACCTAACCTCTCTCCCTCCCTCCAAATCCCTAATTCTTACTCCAATCTCCATTTCCCACAATCTCTAGATCCGATCAATGCTGTTGTAATCCTTTTTTTTTTTAGCTTACCCCAATTTTGAAATTCACCTGCTTCTTATTTTATTATTATTATTATCAGTATTGGGGAGATTCAGTGAGTGGGAAAAGCCTGGAGAAGAAGAAGAAGAAGAAGAAGTGAGTGGGAGAGAGAGAAAGAGAGAGATTCTTCTTCATTGGTCTCAGCGTTATTGCTTGCTTCCGACATAAGTACCCATTCATTCAGATCCGTTAACTAGGTAATGATCCATTTCATCTCCTTCCCATTAATGCCTTTTACCCAATCAATCAAAGCCTTTTTTTTTTTTCTAGTTTTGTTTTGTTTCTTCTTGCTATTTTTTTTTGTGTTTCAGCTAAAATTTAAGAATTCACGACTTTGCTTCACTTGGTAATTTTTGGGTTTCTTCTCTTTTACCTACTAAATCTGGAGAATGTGTTAGATAGTGGAACTTTTCGGTAGCTTGGATTAGCATTGTCACTTGAATCGGGATCTCTTACTCAATTTGAGGTCTTTACAATTGGGTTATTCTTTGGGGGTGAGATTGGATCTGAGGGTTACTAGCAACTGTCTACTTTTTGAGTTTGCTTCCGTTTAGCCATTTTATTTTTTCAGAAATCTCTTTGCTTTATGTCGGAACTGAGGGATCATTTTAAAGTTTGTGTGAATTAGTGGAATTAGCATCTGGAATCTTTGAACAGCTGAGTGACTTAGATCTCAGCTTGCTCTGTTTGGTTTCAGTCTTCTGATCTCTTTGTTTTGTTCCTTGTTATAAAATGTTCTATGTAGTTATTTGTTCTTGCTAGGATTAAGGGCTGTTACTGGAACATATAGATTAATAGATATATGATGATGATCACGGAAACGAAAATTGAATTTGTTTTCAAATGTGGTTTGCTTACAGGTGAGACTGTTTTGATTTTTATTTGAGTAATGTCGAGACTGGCGAAATGGAAGCTGGAGAAAGCCAAAGTCAAAGTGGTCTTTCGATTGCAGTTTCACGCTACCCATGTAAGTCAAATAACTAATAACCTCTCAAGAATAACTCTTTAAATTATTTACTCAGATAATATCATCAAGCTTGAAATGTAACTCCTTTGTGTTTGCTTGTGTTCTTATGCTGTTGATGTGAAGTATCTCTGAGTAGTTATACAAGATGTTGATGGTGTGTGTTTGCTCAGTGTGCACAGTGATCTGATGGGTGCTTTGTTTATTATTTAATAAGGTTCCACAAGCGGGATGGGACAAACTATTCATATCTTTCATTCCCGCTGACTCTGTAAAAGCTACAGCAAAGACAACAAAAGCGCTTGTGAGAAATGGAACTTGCAAGTGGGGGGATCCCATCTATGAAACTACAAGGCTGCTTCAGGATACAAGGACCAAGCAGTATGATGAAAAGCTTTATAAGATTGTTGTGGCTATGGTATCATTCTATTTTATTCCTATCTTTTCTCTTTTTTTCCTGACTTCTTATATCGGAGTTAATTTATTCTTCCCTTTGCATTCTTATGAGATCAGGGTACTTCTAGATCTAGTATCCTTGGAGAGGCTATGATCAACCTTGCTGAATATGCTGATGCCTTAAAACCTTTTGCTGTGGCATTGCCCTTGCAAGGTTGTGATTCAGGAGCTATCTTACATGTATGGGACCATTTGGCATCTATTCTCTGTTTTCTCGCGTTCAATAAAGAAATAGACTTCCTTCTTAAGCTCATAAATTG